AAAGCACTCCAATATCCTACAAAATAAGACATAAAAATATCATAGCATTTGAATCCATCTAATAAATAAATAAGTCAAAAAATAATAAGTGCGATAAAATTAAGCATATAAAAATACGCTAATAAATAAATAATATACACACTTTTTCCGACCAATCATCTTGCTATACTCCACAAACTGCACCACAACAAAACCAATCCAAGAAATATAAATATAACTTAAAGATTCGATTTTCAAAAGAAATTGGAAGACATAAAATAGAGTATTTTCAGTTCAGTTCAAAACTCTTAGCTCGAGAACCAGGCATGAATCAGGGCTTTGATTGATTATTTCAAAACGTCAATTAAACAAACACCTAGCGTGCGCTTAACATGATTTTCATGCAAGCACCTTTCAAGCTCAAACAAATCAATCGACGCACCTCCCAAATACGGAGTTTAGAGTAATTGATGACGTAATACGCCATCGCGAACTGCGTCTGATTCTCCGGCGGATAGACGGGCTCGATCTCCCGGACGATGCAACCTTGTTCTTCCAGCATGCGGCGGTGCTCCGCCGGGACATCGGGCAGCACTGCCACAACGAGCGGGTAAAGGGATTTGGCCTTCCGCAGGCCCTTAGCGAGGCCGACGACGCCCTTTACGTAATCTCCGTCGCCGGCCAAGAAAGTGATGTAAGCTCTGGTCGGCAACACCGCGGGCTTGGCCAAATCAACCGTCATTGTCCCCGCAGCCACTATTTCCGGGGCCATGAAAACCTGTGTGTGCGCAAGACCAGAAAAAAACGAAGAGAGTTGAAGTCGAGAGATGAAGTTGAGAGTTGGAAGGTGCTGATTACGTGAGTGTTAAACTCTGGGTTTGATTTTGTTTTGGGCGAAACTCAAAGGTCGAACAAGGTGGAGAATATATAGTGTTGTTAGAGTGAGTGATTTGACAAGAGTTCTGATGGAGTTTTATGCTGACACGTGGAGGAAAGATGAGATCGACGGCTGAAAATGGGGGGCGGCTCGATCTCGAAGTTTCTTGATGAACGTGGGGGTCTATTATTCTTCTTCCTTTATATTTTTATTTTTTTTTCGTTTGTTTTGTTTTTATTTATTTATATTTATGAAAAGTGAAGGAAGGTGCTAGAAGAACTCCCTTACATTTTGGGGTTGTGATTGTGAATGAGACTTTCTACATCTGACTTTATTTTGTATTTTTTTTTTCTCTAACAAATACATTTTATTTCATTGCATGTTAAATATATATGGGGTGTTTTTTTCCATCAAATTTTTTACATTTTGTTTAGTTTCGTAGCGTGAGAAAAACTAGAATATAATGAGTCAATGACTACTACTAATGATTTGATGCAACCGTATATATATATAGATGTGAGCTAGTTTCGTAGAGAGCGAATTAATTGTGTATAGTTTAGTTTATTTGTTCGCTATTATAATTGTTTCTGTAATTTTTATTAAATCAATAGAAAAAAAACGACGTTGTGTTCATGCAATCACATATATTCATGCATGTAACATCTAAATATCAAGTCATTGTCATGGGGTGGGGTCCTAACTTACATGGAATGGAAAGGAAGCTAACCTGGAGGGAGTCAACAAAGTAAAGACCCAGCAGATTCTACCGAATCTAATCATTGGCATTTCGCGCATCAAACTAGAAATTTCTAGACACTACTGCACCTGATCACTCTGCGGCTCACAATAATCTGACGGTCCTTATTTACTCAACCCAAATAATTAAACAACTCTACCCAAATAAACTGTACCAATACTTTATGCTACCCAAAAANAAAAAAAAAAAAAAAAAAAAAAAAAAAAACTTTATGCCTTCACCAATATATTCCCATTTCTTTGTTTCTTTTACGATTTTTTATTATTATTTTTTTAAGTGCATATATACTAACTTTTACTATTTGTGGTTTATTATTATTATATTTTTTCAAACCGCATTGTGTTTTGGTATATCGTATATATATGACACGATTCTTTAAAGAAATAATTTTCAAAAGTTATAGTACATGTGTTGCTTAAAAGGTCATTTTGCATGCGACGGGCCTGAAAAAAGCCAGTATGCATGGCCCCGTTATGCAATGGCCTGGTGGTACCTATGAAGCCCAGGACTATCTGGGCCATAAATAGTTGTGATTGTCAAGAAACAAGTAAAAGGCTGATCATACCATAACGCCTGGGCCAGGCCTAGTCCATTTATATAAGCATTGTAGTTGTAGCTTTTACCTATGCACTCAGGCCCAAATCTCTAGTTTTTTTTTCATATTAAAAATAAATAATTTTATTATTTTTTTGTCATTTCTTATTCATAAATACTCATTCCTGGTTGAAGATTACAAGTGCCCACCACTAAGGCATGTTAGATGTAACATGTTGTGTCATACACATTTCAATAAATACCTGAGCGAAAAAAGAGGAATAAATCATATACATATGTTGTTTAACATATGATGTATCTCCAAGGATTTAGCGGTG